AAATCGTGTTTGGCATTAACTGTTTAGGTATGTTTCCAGTGGCTTAAAAAAATAGTAAAATTGATTATCTTTGAGCTCGACTAATTTATATGTGAGATATTTATACCTTCTGGATATGGATAATTAGTGTTGAATAGGTTTTAGAGTTATGCTTTTTGCGTTCAAACATTTTAGTTGTCAATATGTGTAGATTGTTGTGAGAAGCTTTTAAAGTGCTGTTTTTCCTGGTGGAGTTTTTGTATCTTCTTGCACCATGGATGCCTTTATATAGTCTTAATGCTGATTGAAAGAGGGTTATTGTAGGTTTAGTTTTGTTACCTCTCTGTTTTCTATAGCCAAGTGTGCTCGTCTTGTTTTCCTAATCCCAAATATGGTGTCCATGTTATTTTTCTTTCCAGCAGTTGCTTTTGTTCCAATTTCTCAGCATGTTCTTTCCTGTTTGATTAATAGGAAAGAGTTGTACCCCTTCCCTTTCTGTTATTCAATGATTGTCTTATACACTGCCTTGCCTGGTTGTATTTCAATGTTGGTCATTTTTGCTTTTTTTTAGTTCTTGTAAAGATATATAAGTTTCCATTGTTTACATTCATATGAATTTGTGATAATTTATAAAGATTAGGCTTAATGAAATCATCTAAGTTGAATTTATTTGCTTAAGAATCATGGTGGACTAGTTCCTGTTTGTTAGTATAAAGTACAATTTCACTCAAGTTATCTATTTGAGCCTGCCTATTTTACACTCTCTTTATGGCTGATTTTCTGATAATTTAGAGAATGTTTCTTTTACTTAGTCAAGTTCATACTATATGCTTCTAGTTACTTTTATTCTAACTCGACTTCACAATCCGTGTATATGGCTGTCGATTTCTTTCTCATTGCCTTCTTTAGACACCTATAATTCAAGATACAATTCATGTATCCTTCTATATCGAGAATGTGATCTAAAAATATCATATTTAGTTACATTGATTTTAGAGTTTCTATCTCCTGTATTGCGAAAGTCGCCTTTGTTGCTAAAATGACATCTCTGCCTGCCTATTTTGTGAAACTTGTTAATTTGATTTGCCAACCAACATACCCATTGGCTCTCAATGCTAATTGAGGGCCTGTTTGAGTGAGAAATAACTCACCTTTGGGGCTGCTCTTTAGCATTTCCCAAGAAGTTAGGCTCGGATGAATGAAAGCTCTCACCTCTTATGCATCCTAACTCTTTAACTCATTGTCTTTAGATCTGTGCTTGAATTGGTTGAGATAGGATTATCGTATTAACTTGTTGAATGTGGTTGTCTGCTTGCTTAAACAGTGATCTGTTTTATTCATTTTTATTTTCAAAATTCGATCAGATTTATCACAATTTTAAAGTGAATCATATGAGTAGTCTCTTGCATTATAGAGTTAGTTGTGATTTATTAAGACCCTTTTTGACATTCTTTCAAGTTATAATTATTCTATGTTGCACAAAGTTGGGTGCTTTAGTTCATTATGGGCAAATTGGTGTTAAATTAGTTAACACGGAATAGATTATTATTAGACTATCAACTATTTGACCAATTTGCTGCATTGAGTTGTTTTATTTTTAAGTATCGACTTCTACTCTTTTACTTCACTTGTGCTAATCATTTTATTCATCTTCTTTTCATGAACTCACCCATTTGAGTCCAATGGACTTCCCTCTCTTGCATATTCCTCTTCTTGAGTCAACCTCCTTTGGAATAGTGAAAGGGAAGATAGTACTGTTTGGTTAAAATCCAGACCAAAGCCAGCTGCTCAGTAGCGAAATAATAATGGTCCTAAAAGGCTGAAATTTGAGTTTTTGAACTTAAAAGTTCAACAAAATGACCAGCAGCCTTGAAAAGGCCGGAAAACAGGAAGCTATTATCATTGGGTTAAAACCCAAGAAGACAGCAGCATCAATAGCCTAAGGGGCTGGAAAATTGAAACTTGGACTTTGAAAAGTCCAATTTGAACTCAGCAGCAGCGGCCAATTGTTTTTGGACTAAAAGTCCCAATTCTTTTAAATTTTATCATTCTTACCATGTTGAATGTCTTATTATCTATTATATTATTTGCTTACTAACCTTTATTAATTTAGATGAATCCTTGGGGAGATATTTTTATTCAAGTTTTCAAATTTCGAAATCCATTTTAAGTTAGGCAATTTAAGCTTATTAGAATAACTTAAGAACCTTTCATGTTCTTTCATAGTTATTGAGAAGCTTTAATCCATGTTTATGAGTTTGAAATAATTGTATAGTTCAAAAACTTGACTATGGATGAAATTTTTATGTTAGGAATATTTTTGAGATTTTACAAGTATCAAAAGATTTTTATGTAAGATTTTATAATTAACCCTTTTTTATATATATAAAATTAGCCAAGTTTTTTTAATTCGTCGATCAACCGTGCGTTAGCGGATTCTATAAGATGCCTAAACCCTTCCTTAGAGAATGATTTGAACCCTTACCCGACTTTGGTTTTATTTTTTTAAAAAAAAAAAAAATTCTTTCAAAAACTCCTTTTTAAAAATGGTTTTCTTAGATTTTCCTAAAAATTAAGTAGCGACATCCAAATTACTCATTTTTCCAAAAACTCAACAAAATTGCCAAAGTTGTGAAACAGTTCCGAAATCTTAGTTTTCGAAATCGGGTTGTAACACTCCGGGCGCCAGATCCATGGGCTAATACACACGAAAAATTAAGGAATTTGGGCGGTTCTTAAAAAGGGCTTGCAAATGCGGAAATGGGCGTTAAAAAATGGTGTGAGCATACGTGAAGATTCCCCAACTCATTATGAAGGTCTTTATAAAGTTTTTGGAAAAAGAAAATTGGGTGCTCCGAGCGCCAGATCCATGGGCTAATAAACAAAAAAATTGGGGAATTTGTGCGGCTCTTAAAATAGGGTTTGTAAATGCGGAAATGGACGTTTAAAAAATGGTGTGAGCATACGTGAAGGTTCCCCAACTCATTACGGAGGTCCTCATAAAGTGTTTTGAAACAAAAAAAATTTGGTGCTCCTAGCATCAGATCCATGGGCTAATACACATGAAAAATTGGGGAATTTGGGCGGTTCTTAAAAAAAGACGTGCAAATGCGGAAATGGACATTAAATAAATGGTGTGAGCATATGTTAAGGTTCCTTATCTCATTACGGAAGTCCTCATACAATTTTTTGAAGAAAAAAAATTGTGGTACTCCGGGCGCCAGATCCATGGGCTAATACACACAAAAAATTGGAGAATTTGGGCGGTTCTTAAAAAAGGCTTGTTAATGCGAAAATGAGCGTTGAAAAAATGGTGTGAGCATACGTGAAGGTTCCCCAACTCATTAAGGAGGTCCTCATAAAGTATTTTGAGAAAAATAAATATTAGGTGCTCCGGGCGCCAGATCCATGGGCTAATGCACACGAAAAATCAGAGAATTTGGGCGGTTCTTAAAAAAAGGCTTGTAACTGCGAAAATGGGCGTTAAAAAAATGGTGTGAGCATATGTGAAGATTCCCCCCAACTCATTACGGAGGTCTTCATAAAGTTTTTTGAGAAAAAAAATTTGGGTGCTCCGAGTGCCAGGTTCATGGGCTAATACACACGAAAAATTAGGAATTTTGTGTGGTACGAACCGAAATTTTTGGTATCTGGTATGGTATTCGGGTTTGGGTAAATTTTTGGTATTTGGTATGATTTATGGGAGTAAAATTTTAGAATTATGGTATTCGGGTTTGGGTTTGGTAGGAGACATTAGTACCATTTGGTATTTGGTATTTCTTGAATACCAAATTATCTACTTAATGTAGGTCATATATTAACATTTCAATTACTCATTAGTACAAGTCCAAAGAGAAAGTTATAGAATAAGCATAAACAATCCAAATACATGTCTTTTAGTTGTGTCAATTTTCTTTTCTTGATGTCTTTTTACTTGTTGATCTTCTATTATATCGTGCCTCCACTTCAAATAAAATAGAAATAATTGGAGAAATAGTATTAACTTTGTAATACAATTGGCTATAATTTCAATACGGTATTACCGAATACCGTACCAAACCGAAGTTTAATTTACCATTTTCCGAATTAACAAATCAAAATTCAAAATTTTGGTATTTGATATCTACTTTAAACTACCAATTACCGAAATACCAAACCCGAAATTTGAGAAACCCGAACCGAATAACGAATGCCCACCCCTAATTTTGATGGACTTGGGGATTGTAATAATTGGGCTAAAATTGAAGTATTGGGCTTGAGAAAATGGTAAAGTTAAAGACTTAGGTTAATTAAAATTTAACAAAACATTTATATTTTATTTATGAATAATATATAAATAATTATAAAATTTATATATCTAATTTATCGATTTGGTTATTTTTGCGGTTGTCATTTAGTAAAACCAAAACCAAACCAAATATCGGTTCTTTTTAACTGGTTTGATTTGGATTGCGGTTCGATTTGGTTTTTTAACCATAACCATGAACAACCCTAATGACAACAATGCAATCTAACTTAGCTTTGAAAATTAGTCAAATTAAATCTCGAAAATGCAACATGACAACTAAAAAGGAATGAAGAGGGTACTAGATTAGTTATTACAAATATCGGTCATATTTCTGCTTGCTTCAATTAAGTATTAAATATGAGGAAAATATTTAATAAACTCAATTACGAATTTTTTGAAGGAAGAACTTTTCCCCATATATTCCATGTAAGATTTTCAGTTAGATCTCTTTTTTCTTTCTGCTGCATTGATAATTAGAATGTTGTCTTTCGAAAATAGTCTATCTACCTCCACGAGGTAGTGATAAGGTCTACTACGTATATGCTATCATCTCCAGATCTCACTTAGTGGAAATTCACTCAGTATGTTGATGATGATTAGAATGTTATCTGATGAAGTTGTATGGATTATGAGTTTGTGAATACTCTAGCAATGAATGATTCCAAGTTCATAGTTAGTACTTAGTTGTACTAGCATATAATAAGTTTGAAATGAAAAGAGGATATTTATGGTTTAGAACTTTAGATATAGCAAATCCATTGATATACTGTGTTGAGTTGTTCAACAAATTATGAATGAATTCCGTCCTGGATATCACAGGATCATCAGGAATATAGCAGGGTACAGAGGTGGCCGAGGATTTGGGAATTTTAAGTATCTTCCATATCCCATGTCCTCGTCTTAGATAGCAGAACTTCGAATCGAAGTGCAAACACTATCCACATTGTATGGATGCTCGATGTTTCCACGTTTTGAGTGAACAAGTAAAGCAGATACCTTTTTCATTCTCTTTGGGTGGTCCTGGACTGGATTCTTGGGGTGTCTTGGTGGCAAATAACCCCTCTCCGTGGAAAACTTGTGGGAAAGATTTTAGCTTTAAAGCAAAAAGATTTCTGCAGTCCATAGCCAGTGAGCTTAAATGAAAAATAATAATTAGATGTAACTCGAGCATATACGTCTTCTGGACCAGAAAAGTTGATGTGGTACCTAGTAACTGAAGGCTGGCTACTGGATGGCATTACTTAATAGTTCCATCCATTGCTGATCTTTGACATAATATGGGCTTTTACACATGGAACACCTTGAGCATAGCTAAGCAGCTGTAGGTAGGCCTGCATCATACTTCCAGCATAGCACGAGCACCTTGAGTCCCAACCAGGTAGAAACTATGCGTTGTCGGATTTTGCATGGGATTTCCCACAGTTCCCGGAAGGTAACGTCCAACCTGGGACCAACATATGCAGGGATTCATTATTAAGAAACCATGTAAGATACACACAGTATTCTTTTAGTAACAATCATCTCTGTCCTCAATCGACTTACATGCAATAGCCACATATACTACTCTTCTCACTCTTCCCAGAAGAATTTGTTCAATTAGTAACACAATACAGAACCTTCAAGCAGTATTCTTTTAGTATCTCTGCCTATCTTCAGACATCTTACATTTAACAAAACATATACTACTATTATCACATTCTTCCAGAAGAATTTGCCAAATTCTTAACAGAATACGGAGCCCTCAAGATACCAGTTTCTCAACAAATGCAGATATTATAACGAATTACCTATGGCCTTAGCCATTTCTATCTGAAGAAATGAGTCGGTGGACTTACATGAGGGGGTGATATCACGCAATAATGGGGATGTTCTCATATTAATTTAAGAAATCCAGGAAAACAAGCTCAGGTGCTCTTGATTTTAGAACGACATTCATTGCCAGAAGTGTATAACATATGATGTCAATCTGACAGTGCGTTCTATCAGCAACAAGAAATTCATGAACAAAACCATCTATTTCAATAAAAGAGCATCCAGGTTGCTTTTGGATTCCCTCAGCACCCATATTCCTCCTTACCATCTTCACATCCTTCCACCTAGATGCAGAGGCATAGGCATTAGACAACAGTACATGTGCCCCACACTTCTCTGGCTCCAATTCGTTAATCTTTTTGGCAGCAACCTCGGCCAACTCTACATTCCCGTGTCTACTACAAGCAAAAAGCAGGGATCGCCAAATGACAGCATCCGGCTGAATGGGCATGGAACCAATCAAATACATAGCCTCAACCAGAAGATTTGCACGACCCAAAAGATCAACCAGGCAACCATAGTGCTCAATCCCCGGGGAAAATTTGTATCTCCTAGTCATTTTCTCAAAATTGTAAAACCCTTCATCAACAAATCCACCATGACTACAGGCAGATAAGATTCCAAGAAACGTTACTTCATTCGGACATACTTCTCTTGATCCTTCCATTAGTAAAAATAATTGCAAAGCCTCTTCAGACCTTGCATTCATAGCTAACCCAGAAATCATCATACTCCACGAATAAACATCCTTATTAGTTAACGAATGAAAAACTTCTAGAGCTTTATCAACAAGTCCACATTTAGAGTACATATCAATCAAAGAATTCTTCACTATAAGGTTCATTTCTATTCCACTCCTTTCGCTATAATTATGCACCCACCTTCCAAGATCCAGTGCACCTGAATGCCCACATGCAGAAACTACACAAGCAATTGTGGCAGGTTCGGCCATAACCCCAGCCATCAGCATCACCCTGAATAACTCTATCGCTTCCTTACACATATCACATTTCAAATAACCTGCAATCATAGAAGTCCAAGAGACTATATTTTTATCTAACAATCTGTCAAAAACAGTTTTAGCATCTTCTAAACACCCACATTTCGTGTACATATCAACCAAAGAAGAACCTAAGTAGACATCCATTACAACTCCATAGACCACAATCAACCCGTGAATCTTCTTCCCCACATCAAGCAACTCAGTTCTTGCACAAGCTGTAAGAGCACTCACAATACTTACATCATTCAACCTCACATCACTTTCGCGCAACAATTTTCCAAACACCTTCACTGCTAGATAACAACACCCACTTTGTAAATACCCAGAAATCATACTATTCCAAGTAACAACATCACGAACAGAATCAGGAATAAAATCAAACACCTTCTGTGCAAACTCAACAACCCCACATTGAAAATACATATAAATCAAAGAATTTTGCACAAAAACATCAAATTCAAACCCCAATTTCAAGCTCACACAATGAACTTCAAGACCCTTATGAAAACTAACCAATCTACCACAAGCTTTCAGTACAAAAGGGAAAGTAAAATTATCAAGAATCAAACTTTTCTGCATCATTTGATTGTAAAGACTAATGGCTTCTTGGGGGAATGAACTGTGGGAGTATGCACGGATGAGGAAATTCCAAGAAAAGACATTGGGGTTAGGGATTTGAGTGAAAAGGGTGTGAGAAAAAGTGAGGGTGAAGTCAGAATTTGAAAGACAATGGTGGAGGAGTTGGCTGGAAATGAATGGGTTTGTGAAATAGCCTGAAGTAATGGCATGAGAGAGGATCTGGGTGAAATGGTTGAAGAGTTTATGGGTTTGCAAAAGAGATGGAGAGAATGTGTGGTGAAGTGATTTTTGAGTTTGAGATGTAAGAAGAGAGATTAGGGTTTTGGGTTTTGGAGGTTTGAGTTTGGAGGGAAGCCTCACCATTTGGTTACACAACTAACATTTGACAAGAGAAATGTAGGAAAGGGTCGAAAGTGACAAAGAAAGACGAATATATACATAAATCAAATGTCGAATCAGGTGTCATCAATATAAGAGCGTCTAAAATACAAGAATAGAGCTATATATAACAAGTTTGCATTGTCTAACAAAAATTCAAAATATAGACAATAAAATAATGAAGGAAGACATCAAGTCTCTGGACGTCAAGAGCTCATCACAATTTTAATAACGACCACGATATGATCAAAAATCAACAAGGGTGGCTCGTAGGGCTGGGATAATTTGGTTCAGATCGAAAAAATTGACCAAATTGAATTTATTATAATTTCGGTTTTAGTTTTTCGATTTAATTGGTCGGTTTCGGTTTTAAATTTTAAATTCCGGTAATTCGATTCTATTTAGTAGGAGTATTTAGAATCGTTTTGTTTATGAAAGAAAATAAATATCTCTAATAAAATAAAATAAAAATAGTTAACAAAACCACGAGCTGTGCATGCTCCTCTTTACTCTTGGAGGAATCACAAGGAAAGTTGTTGGTGCATTAGTCAACCTAAACGACATCACTAAAAAACTAAAAAATGTCCATATCGAGTCATGAAAGTTGTTTTACGCACATTTGCAAGCTTAATTTTAAACTGATGGTACTCTAACCTTAAGTCAATCTTTGAGAGCACCGAAATACTCTACAACTGGTCAAAAAGAGCATCTATGCAAGGTGAGGGGTAGTTATTCTAGATAATGACCCTATTCAAGTGTCTATATTCTATATACATCCTCATATTATCATCCTTCTTTTTCACAAACAACACCGAAGCATCCCAAGGCGATGCACTAAGACGAACAACCCCTTTTTTAGAAGCTCTTGATGCCGAGTCTTGAGTTTCCTCAACTCGATCGGGTCATGCAATAAGGAGAGATAGATATTGGACAAGTGCCCGACTCCAAGCCTATGCAGAAATTGATATTCCTATCCGGAGGCATACCAAACATATCAGTAGGAGATACCTCCAAAAAATTTGAAACCACTAAAATTGACTTAATAGAATGGGGTTCAAGACTAACATTCTGAAGATTGACTTATGTGATCTTGGTATGAGTTGGTTATCTCCATATCATGCTAGCTTAGACTGTTATGCTAAAATTGTTCCTGTTTGTATGCTCAGAATGTCTACATTAAAGTGGAATGAGAATTGTAATCCTTTTCTAAGAAGATCATATCTTATATTCATACAAAAAAGTTATTAGGGGAGGGGGGAGGGGGGGAGGGATATTTAGCATTTCTAGGGCAAACTCATATGACAAACTTTATCGATAGAAATTTGTTTAGCATTGTTTGAAGTTGTACCTTGCTCAAACTCATATGACAAACTTTATCTGTAGATGTTTTTAACCCAATTTTGTGCTAGAATTTTCTTGAATCTTAATTCACATTCAACACAATTACCACATTTAAGACTTGACCTTTTCACCTAGGTATAATCAAATTAATCGGATTCGGATCCAATCTCCTGTGTAGAACGATTCAAATCATAGCCTAAAAATACGAGGTGTTACATCTAGGGGTGTACATAGGTCGGTTTGGTTTGATTTTTCATTAAAAAAAAAACCTAAACCAATTATGTTTGTTTATTAAATCTAAAAACCAAATCAAACCACATAAAGTCGGTTTTTTCGGTTTCGGCTTTAGTCGGTTCTTTCGGTTTTTCAGTTTTTTGGGGTTTTACAACTATACGGTATTTGAAAAAGATATCAAATATATTTTCACTTACTTGTGTGATAAGCTAAACTTAAAAAATGTTAAATGAATAGAATTTTTTGAAAAGACGGTAAAATTCACATGAGTACAAAATTTTACAAGCCCAAATTTGAAATAAAATATATAAACATTGATAACTATAAATTAACTAAAAATATACTAACAAAGTAGATAATAAATAATAGTAGTTTTTATCTATAAATAAAATAAAATTATATATATATATATATATTATGTCGGTTTGGTTTGGGTTCCGTTTGGCTTTTTTTTCTTTTAATACCAAACCAAACCAAGAGTAGTCGGGTTTTTTTTGCAACCGTCAAACCAACCAAACCAAACCACAAATCGGTTTTTTTTTTGGTTTGATTTGGTTCGTCGGTTCGATTTGACTTTACGATTTGGCTTGTACACCCCTAGCTATATCATGCTACGAAGGCCCATTTTTCAGATCTAATACTTCCTCAATCATTTTGTTCTTCATTCAATTGCTATTTTGCTTTCATTATAAGATCAATTTATATCGTTAGATCATACTAAGAAATTCAACTAAACCATTATATACATCTATTTCTTTTTATATCAATCTATATCCATATTTTCAAAAAATAAACATCCATAAACCAAACTTGCGGAAAGTTATGTATAATTTGCCTGTGGAGATCCCTAAACTTTTACATTAATATTTTTATAAAAAGTTAACTTTTGGATTATGTCAAAAGAAGGCAAAAAATAAAAAATATTTCTTGAGAGCTAACTTCTCATTCACAATTGCTAAAAACAAAACAAAAAGTTAAAAAATATATTATTATATATTTAGGAATAAAGACAACTTGTTTAAGTGAGGATTAATTTAATACGTTCATCTTGTCTGCCATGCGGAATAGAAAAAGCCAATTTCCTTTAAGGAGTTCGGATCTAGTAATGCTACTTTCTCCCTCATAATCATTATTTTTTAGTGTTCTTTATAAGAATATTATTTTTTTATAATTAAAAATAAATAAATTAATTTTAATTTATTTTTATTTTTGAAATAAGAATTTATAATCATATAAATATCTAAGATTCATTTTAGACTATAAATTTTGAAAGTATATTTATTTGTTTTTTAGGTTTTGTGTTAAGCTAAACAATGTCATTAGAGGTGTGCAAAAATCAATTTAACTAATAAATTGAATAGAAAAAATATTATTAATTTATTAGTATTAGATTATTGAATTAACGGTCTTTAAAATATAATATTATATTAAAATTACTATTTTACTCGTAATTGTATTTACCACTAAGTTTAGTATTACTTTCGATCGTAGACAACACAAACTAGTCTTTTCGTCTTTCTGATGACACCTTCTATCTTCTCGGTACAAACTAGAATTACATTTTCTCTTCTGGATTTTAGATTGATGTGACAAAGATAAACAATTAGTGTTGTTTCTACAATTTATTAATTGCATGTGGCTTTAGAAGAAATTCAACGATTCTATCTTTAAAAAAAATGATAAATGTAGAGATTTGTGTTACACATCCATTCTTATTATTATTTCTGTTTTATGAATATCGTGTATATAAGATTATATGAGCATTTTCTTATCGATTAAATTCAAATGGTTGTAATTCTCTACAGTGTTTTAAAAAATCTATTGGGACTCACCTTGGGGCTTGCTCCCGGGCAGGTATCTAGCAAATCACTCTGAGACTTAAGTATGAGGCTTAGTTTTGTAAGACTTACGCCTTAAGCGTCCGACTGTACGCCATAAGCATACTCAACATCCAATTCTCGTCTCCTGAGGCTCGCCTAACAGATCTTACACAAATTATGTGTTAAATTCTTTAGTTGACATTGTTGACCCTCATAATTCTTGAATAAATGAATGATACTTAATAGTTTTTTAATCTATACAAATTATAAGAAGATTGAGAGTAACTTAAATAACAAGTTGTAATAATGCATCTTTACTATTTTGAAACAGTGTGAGGGTAATTATATATTACAAAATATTTCTTTTAAAAATACATAACAAAATTTTACTTTTTATTACTTATTATTGGTCTTCATATTTTTGTCATATGTCTCAAAATTATCATATTTTATATTTAGCTATTTGAAAATAATTTTATTTTTATTCATGATAAAGTGATGTTTTATTATAATACTAGTATGTTTTATTGATTATTTTCTTTTAGGGGGGAGGGGGTGAAATTGTATAACATGTTAATAATATATTTTCTTTTATTATTAGAAAGCTAAAATATTAGAGTTGATTTGCATCTCATAATAATTTTTATATCATTACATTATTTATATTTGTATAATCATGTTAAAAGTTTTATTTTCTAAAAGTTTTCTTAATCATATTTGTAATTATTTCAAACTATTAATGTATTTTTATTATACTATATATATTATAAATTGAAATTTTAAATATCCAATGAGCTTATTTTTTTTTAAAATCCAATAAGCTTACACATCACCCCTATGCTAAATAAAACGTTCGGTCACACGCCCTCCTTTTAAAACACCGTCTTGGCTAGAGCTACTCAACAAAAATAACACGTGTCTAAAAAGGAATCTTCACACCACCGCACTTAATGAGGCCTCACTAACCAATCCTTATAATCACCTACTTCTATTTAAACCTTGTTCGGACTTTCCGCAAAATGTCTGTGGGAACACATTAAACTGCTTTTTTGGAGGAGTTTAAAGAAAGGTAATTATTTAAAAGTTGTTAGATTTTGAATCTTTAATATTTTTCTCTTTTGGAATTTTGATGTTATTTGTTAGTTAAAGATTATTAACAACTTTTTATTTTGAAAGAATGATTAATTCTTTAGCTGTGCTTCAGATTTTTGGTCAAGAAAATTTGATTCTTTTTTTACTAAAAGAGAAACAAATACAAATACTGACATAAAGTTGCAATCTTTGATCTTATTGTATATTCTTAAATTTATTTATAACTTTTTGTTTTTTTTTTCTTGCTGTTGCTAGCACATGGGCTAAGCTGGTTAAATTTTGTAGTTTACTTGTATATATGTTTAGTAGAGTAAAAGTACTTACTTAGATTCCACTTTCTGCTCTTACTTTTGGTAGATTCAATTTTTATTTCTAAGTATACTGCTGAAAATGGGATTTTTGTTTGCATCTGTTTTTTTTTTTTTTGGGGGTAAAAATGAGATTCATAAATCTGCTTAATGTTAAAGTTACATTTTGTTTCTTTGTTTGAACAAATTTTAGTGATCTGCAATCTTTTGGGTGTGATCTAGCTATGCAGTTCTTTAGAGGTCAATCCAAGATCTAAAAGCAGGGGATGTTCTATTTAATATAGGGATTATACATAAACAGGTACGAAAAGTTAACACTCCAAGTTTGAGTATGCACGTCTAGACACCTCTACTCGTTTCTACTGTGTAAGTTGAATACCCCAACCTACAACATGATCATTTACATACCTCTAAAGTTTATGTGCTATGTTAGCATCGGGTGTCTATGAGACGTAGTGGGACAAGTTGGAGTGTTTATTTGTTAATTGAGATAAAGTTGAGGTGTCTAGATGTGCACCCTCAAAGTTGGAGGGCGAGTTGGAGTGTTTAGTTGTCAGTTGAGACCATTGGAGTATTTTAGATGCACTCTCAAAAAGTTGGAGGATGAGTTGGAGTCTATGTTGATCGGAGTCTTTAAAAATGTTGACGGGTGTGTGTTGGATTCTTCAAAAATAGTGTATTTTTGGAGAATCTGACATAGGTGCGTTAACATTTTTGGAGAGTCCGAACAACATAGGTTGGAGTGTTTAGTTGTCAGTTGAGATTGAGTTGAGGTGTTTAGATGTGCACTCTCAAAGTTGGAATGGTTACCTGCCAGTTGAGGCCAAGTTTGAGTGTCTATTTATGTATTATGCCTTAAATATATATCCATATTTTGAATTTTTCTTGAAGTTTTCTATATATATTATTGTCCAAGTTTGAGGTTGTGCTGGATCTGCCTCTGCATGTCGCAATGTGAAACTTACTGCAACCTTTACTAGAATACAAGTGGTTTAAGTTTTTCCCGGCCCAATAAAATTGCATGACTACTTTTTACCCTCTCAAATGCAAAAATGGCTAGTGCTTTCATGGTTATGTTTTGAGTTTGTGCTCATACTTGTTAATGAAGAGTATGTTCTTCATACGACCTCTTTCACATTTTTCTATCATAATCTGCTTGTACAGCAGAGCAAAATGGATACGGATGTTTCATTTAGCTGAGTTTAACTCATTCGATATTGATGCGTATGATATATGTTAACTTATTCCATGGAGTTGTATAGATACAAATGATTCATATTGTACTCAAACTAATTTGGAATTCAGCTTACTTGATTCACATATGCCAACTTATTCATTTGAGGGAATGTACCTAACATATTTCTGCAAATTACTCGTGTTATTCCACAAGAATGTGGCTTCAAGCTTGCTTGCATCTCGCATTTCTAACTTGTTTCCTGTTCTTTTTCCTTATTTAACTATTTTCTACATGATGTAATAATCCTTTTATTATTTTCACTCGTGTGTGTAAATATATTATAGGTTAAATATGTGGTGTTTGTCCTAGAAATGAATTATCCAAAATGGGAAATATGTGGTTGTCCTTGTGGATACTAGTTTTTAAATCCATCCATCCATTTGTAGATGAACCCATAGTGGAATCATTGTTGGTGGTGGACCAGGTGAAAGCAAGCCTACCATAGAAGATAAGTTTTTGTTGCCAACAATCAAACCTTATGGTTCTTGCTCCATTCAGGGACTTGTAAACTGACAACAAGTGGTGGTACTTTTTTGTTGTTTCATTTGTAATCTGTATAAGCTTCAGTATGCCAGTCAGGATAGAGTCCGCGTCATGAATAAATTAACTTTTAATAAGAAGTTTGGGTATTGTTATTAAAGAATGACAAAAGTCCCACATTGGTGGTTAATGAGATGGGTGGACTCTTTATAAGGCTTGGGCAATCCTCCTCCCTTTGAGCTAGCTTTTGGGGTGTGAGTTAGGCCTAAGACTTAATTTAACAATTGTCTTAAAGATCACGTCTTATTTTAAGAGTTTGAGTGCTGACAGATAGGAACAGCTAAAAAAGAAAACTTTCAAATATTAGTGATCATCCTTGATTTGCTATGTAGTATGTCCCTGAATTTGTGCCATGTTTGGTATCATTTTGTGAATGTTAGTTTTCCTCAGGTAGTTTCTTTAGCTAGTTTGAGCACAAGGTTGGGGGGAAATAATTGTAAGGAAGTGAATGTGTTTGATGAATGTCACAATTGTGTTTCAAGAAATGATGTTATTCGTTGGTCATTCATGTTGTTCTTAGTGGTTGGAGTTATTTTTAACAGCAGGCGTAGCAGAAGCTGCCTATTAATATGTATGGGGAGACTGCAAGTAACATTATTCTGTCGAAGTAACAACTTGGTTCCAGAAACAATCCTGACTAAATGCTTCTATTAACTTTTGTTATTCTTTGGTAAATATAACACCAATTGTTGTGAACGGAGAATCAGCAAAAAATTTGTCCACAACTTCAGATATTTCCCATTCTTTAACTCAGGTTGAACTTTGTGCTTTCTCAAGTGGCTAATAAGAGTTGTAATTTGGTTTCAATACAGGAAACACTTTGTGTGTCGGGGACTTTGATTACAAGAAAATTGCACTTCTGTTTAATTTCTGAAGTGCTTCACTTTCTGTGAAGATGCTTAAGGTTCCTCAACATCAAGTCGCAGGACACGAAGCGGGCATCGGGAAGCTTGGTCCCCTCGTGGATGAATCAGGACGCTTCTACAAGCCTCTGCAAGGTGATGAACGAGGTGCCAATGAGGTTGCATTCTATAGTTCATTGTCCACTAACAGTGGGATCCCAGAACACATTCAAAGATTTTTCCCCACCTTCTATGGAACTCAGCTCGTAGAAGCATCTGATGGATCTGGCTTGCTGCCTCACTTGGTCTTGGAAGACCTTGCTCTAGGTCATGTCAATCCATCGATAATGGACATCAAGATTGGTTCAAGAACCTGGGCACCCGAAGCATCCGAGAAATATATTCAGAAGTGCTTAAAAAAAGATCGAGAATCGTCAAGCCTTTCATTAGGATTCAGGATATCGGGGTTGCAAATCTATAGAAGCAAAGAACTAGGATTCTGGAAGCCTGGAAAGAAAGCTGCTCAGAAACTCTCTACAGAGGAAGTCAAGTTAGTCCTGAGAAGGTTTGTTTCTTCAAACACATTGAATGATTTGGATTTGAGACCTGACTGCGCTTTCGCATCAACTGTTTATGGCGGATCTACTGGCATTTTATCTCAGTTACTGGAGCTGAAAGCTTGGTTTGAGGATCAAACTATATTCCATTTGTATTCTTGCTCAATTCTGGTGATTTTTGAAAAAGAGCTGGCATTGAAAGGAAAGAATCCAGGTGCACATATCAAGCTGATTGACTTTGCTCATGTTTACGAAGGACGAGGTGTCATTGATCATAACTTCTTGGGTGGTCTCTGCTCGTTGATAAAATTTATTTCTGACATTCTTACTGCTCCTAGTGACTGCAGAATAGACATTTCTGCAAAAGCTGATCAGAAGAACCTTACCGCTGATAATGGTGTTGTAGCTGATCATAAGAGCCATACCGCCTCTGATAATGGTGTTGTTGCTGATCAGAAGAACCTTACCGTCTCTGATAATGGTGTTGTAGCTGATCAGAAGAACCTTACCACCTCTAAGAATGGTGTTGTTGCTGATCAGAAGAACCTTACCGCCTCTGATAATGTTGTAGCTGATCATAAGAACCTTACCGTCTCTGATAATGGTGTTGTAGCTGATCAGAAGAACCTTACCGTCTCTGATAATGGTGTTTTAGCTGATCAGAAGAACCTTACCGTGTCTGATAATGGTGTTGTAGCTGATCAGAAGAAGCTCACTGACTGATAAATGGTGTTAGCTGATACAACTCAAACTCTTGTTGGAACCATTTTTCAACCTGGATTCCAACAAGCCACATTTTCCGCCATGCTGTAGATAATTTGCCTGAATTGTTCAATTCGGAGTCCTATGCAATGCTTCCACGCGTGCTTTAAGATTTTAGACACTCTAAACTTACGATTTGTAGTCTCTGATTACATATTTGCTACCTTAGCTCAGCTGTGCTATGAACTCTTTCTTTTGTAGATCAGGAGGCAAAGAACACTTTTTAATGACAAAAAGGAGCATATTGACTTCAATTACATGCATTAATAAATGCTGTTTTCAAAAGAAAAAAACTCTTTTTCCACAGAATTTCATCCTGTCTATATGAAAGGACAGTGAGGTGCAAATAAATGATCCATCTCAAACCAATGTGCATTACTGAATAACCCCAGCTGTCTAATCCTTAAAGTAGAAAAAATGGCAAAAGGATATTAGACCTTAAGCAGCAGAATTTTCTAGCAAGAGGGCTAATTAACTGTTGAATATAATACCATTGCTGTTTGTGGAAAGCCCAGTTACGAAACGGCATATATAATATATGAATATGCCTTAAAATTTGGTCTCATCTTATATCTATGCCCTTGAACTTTGGATGTGCACAAGTAGATACATAAATAAGTTGAACAAATAGATACACGTGTTCTACGTGATATTCTATTTGACAATTTGTGTCCTACATGATATTCTACTTGTATTATGTCACCTAAGATTCATGTGTTTCTATTTGTTAAATTTATATAAGTTTAAATATCTGCTTGTGCACACCCATGCCTAAAGGGCATAAGTATGAAACGAAATCAAGTTAAAAGGCACATTTATATATATATATATATATATATATATATATTATGCGGTTAAG